ACTTTCCTTTCCCCAAACAGAATGACAAGAGGAGGAAGCTTGTCTGATGCAGTTTTGGAGAAACAGCTGACGGCACAAACTGTATCTGTGGTAACCTGTATGAAATCTGAAGTAATTTTCACAATTATAAGTATTTTGTTTCTTGCCATTAACTGTTGAGCACACCTAGGAACTAGACAATAGTCAGAGTACTGGTCAGGGCTCTGAACTTGTACTGTACCTTTGAGTAAGATACTCCAATTGTTTTGGTGGGGAGGGAGAATTTATTCCCCAAGGAACAACAATGAAATCCTAAGATGTGTATTGCTTTTTTATTTGATAGACCAAAGAGCAAAATTGAACAGGGTTGCATTGGGAATCAATCAAGAATGATTTTACAGCAGCAGTGTGATGCGTAGGACAGAGTGTGTTTATCTCAGTTATTGGGATGTTTCTGGAACACCACTGGCCATAAATAAAAGTACAAAAGCATGTATATTTTTGTTATTATTTTCATTAGAAATTTTTATCCATTATGTCTATTTTTAAACAATGACTATTTTTCCTCAGTGGAAGTCTTTTCTGATTTGAAAAGAAAAGCATGACTGGCTGAAGGCCTTAAACCAAGGCATGCTCATTTCTATTGCTCTCCTAAGATAAGCGGATATTGTGCAGATGTCTCACACAGACAAGTCTGTTATTAAAATAAGGAAATTCAGACTCAAGTTTGGGGGTTTGTTACAGGTGAACCAATACTCACAGCATAACAGTTTTGAGAACTTGTGATTCAATTTTAAAATTCAGAAAAGCCACAGGTGAGAGGAGGTAATTTTGACCAACAAGATCATGGTTCTGTTTCTCTAGGGCACAACCCTTAGTTCAGGTAACTATTGTACAGTAGACTTTGTTGGACTGTTGGTTCTTTCCTCATCTAGGATATTTTACAATGGTCGATTATTTTTGCAACACACAAGAAAACAAGGAAAAGATAGCAACGCACTGGGAAGTATGAAGACAGGACAAAATGGGGTCTCTTTAGAAGTAATAGTCCTCTCTCTGGACAATCCAGTAATTGCAACATGGAAGTGATTGAAAGGCCTGACTTGTTCTCTGCAATTTTAGTCTCAACTGGCTAGGTGAAACACTTAAAGCACTTAAATAGTTAATAACAAAAGGCTTTTCTCAGCTTAATACATTATTGTGGTCTGGCTGTATGCTTATTTCAATTTCTAAGGACATGGCACAGACCTCAGTTTATAAGTATAGCTTGATTTCAAATACCCCCAAATGTCCTATTGCCGAAATTAAATTAGAGCTGCTGAACAGATGTAACATCATCCCTTCTGGATCCAATAAAATTTAGAGGAAGAATGAAAGAGGTGACCCAACAGGGACATGTTTTAGTTACAGTCACTGTGCCACATAGAGAAAGCATATGGATGATAGATACACTTTTAGTGATTCAAATTTGTCATTTAAAATGTCTAAGGGCCAAAATGCCTGTTGTCAGAGAACATTTATTTTTTTCCACCAGGAGATAGACTATTAGTTCTTGGTCTCATAGTAAGTTCTAGGCCAGGAGATAAGGACAGTATAAAGTGATAGAAAGAGCAGTGATGTTTATTACAAGAGGCATTAACCTAAAAGAAGAAAGCCAGTTTTACAATGTAGACGTGTTGATACTGTACAATGAAGAGACAGAGTCAAGACAGGAAAGATGAAAGTTTTAAAAAAATAAACTTTATTGCTATTTTTTTTTACCTTGATGTGAATTATAATGCACTCAATAGATTCAGACAAAATCTTAAAAAAATCAAAAAGTACCTTCCTGCAAATGCAGTCTAGGTCATAAGCAAGATTAAATATACTTTTGGATAACTGAAACACTGGAAGAGTCTTCCAGAAAATATTTCAAATACAAAAAGAAAACAAAAACATTTTATCTATACAATACTAAAAATGACAAATACCTCTATGCTTTTCCAGTAACCCTCAAAAGGAGTACTGAAAAGATATCTGGCAAAAAAAGAATTTAATATCACAACACAAACTGCTAAATTATGCCATATGAACTTACAACACATTAACATTCACGTAGAGTGTTTCACTGGTTCAAATTCATGTTTATGTGTGTTTCTGTTGTGCAATAAATGCCCTTGTGCATCTGCATAAATCACATTTATAATCTTTAAATATCAACTCTGCCACAACTAAGCGTTGTTCAATCATGGGTCAATATATGCATACAGTATATATTCAGATTAGACTGAACGGAAGGACTGAGGTTTGACATGTTTCTGAGCTGCAAGAGCTACAGTACATGTATTATCATGTCCTTGTCAACACCCACTTTGGAACAGATGAGGATAAAAGGGCAGCTCTGCACACCAAGTATCAGTCACTGTTTTCAGCAGTCACAGGAAGCTGCTAAAGAAGCACCTGCATTCTCCCAGCCTTGTCCAGCCATCATTCAAAATGAGCAAGATCATTGTTTTTACAAAAGAGGGGTTCACCGGCAGAACAGCTGAATTCAAGAACAATGTCCATGACCTAGAGGAAAAGGGCTTCAACAACGCCATCTCGTCTTTGAAAGTTATCGGTGTGCCATGGGTAGCATATTATGAAAATAATTTTGTTGGAAAGCAACGGGTGTTTGAGGAAGGAGAGTACCCTACCCTTGATGACAAAGGAAGATTTTCTTCCCTACGGATGATCACAGATGACCTGGACGACCCTGAAATCCAGCTGTTTGAGCACATCAATTACAAAGGAAGGGAAGTGACCCTACGAGAGGAAACCAATCTTCAGGCAATCGCTTTCAGCGACATAGCTTCTTCCCACAAAGTGAAAGGTGGTGTCTGGGTGCTGTACGGGGGTGTCAATCGCCAGGGCTCCCAGCTTGTTTCCTTCCCTGGGGATAATGTTCCCAATTATGTCAAGATCTCCTTCAATGATGTGGCCAGCCATGTGCGCCCCTTGCTGCCAAAGAAAAATTAGAAAGCATCATTCAAAGTACGCTTGCTGCAGCTGAATATGAACTGGAACCCTTTGGAAAGCATCAGGCTGCTGGCGGGGAAAGACTCACCTTGAGAGAACTGTTAAGACAAGAAACAATGACTGTGACTAATTCTCTGTAATACTGTACGTCTGCAGAAACTTTAACATAATGAAACCAGACTGCAAATAATCATTTGATATCTGTGTAAAGACATGCATGTTAATTTGGCAAATGTTATGTAACAAGGATGAATATGTTTTAGCCAAAGTTTTTAAGTTTCTGTTTGTCTTTTCAGATAGAGTGATCAGTGCCAGTAAACATATGCAGTAAAATATAGTTTTGGAATTGTCACAGATCTACTACAGATCACATTGTGAATGTCAGGCAGTGAAGCTATGCTGTGTTATTTCCCCTGTTTGACTTAAATTAGTGGAAAGGTTTCTGGAATTATATTTTGCTCAGTAAGTGACAATAAATGGTGTTTCAGTCTATAATGTCTTTTCTAGAGGTAACTCAGAAAATAAAGACTCTTAAATATCTGAATGCTCATTGTTTCTTTAATTTTCATTTTTTAATGTCTTCATCATTGTAAAATATCTACTACTCTCTCATTACATTTTATTTTGACATTAGACTGTATTTTTAAAATGTAAGAGATACATCATAAATGCTTTAACTTATCAGCAAAACAAAACTACCTGCAAAGCTAGGTTGAGTATTAATTGAAATATAAGGAAAATAAACTATTTTACAAACTCTAATCCAGTTACAGTGGAGGTTCTCTTTACATCTAGGAAAAGTGATTGCAAAATTTAAATGTATTTTTTTATACATTGACATTGTTCAAACTGAGACACATCAGTAAACTGTATTTATATCTTCAACATACAGTATACTTGATATAAAATACAATCTCCAGTGATGGGTCACCTGAAAATTCTGATAGTCATTTAACTAGACTTCATATAATGTTCAGGTGGGTAGCTGCATCAGCATGCGTAGGCTGCAAAGGAACAAGTAATAGGTTTATTCCACGTGTTAGATATGTAACACCACAATCATTCAAGGCCCCTCAGGACAGTTTCGGATCACTCAGATGACATACATAAAGTTGTACCTCCAGCAACCTTATTTACTGTGTAGAGAAAACCGGTTCAGGGACGCCAAATATGTAATCATAGTGGCTCTCTGAAGGCACCAG